CAGGATTGGCAAGACTCTGTCTTATGAGCCTCCTTCACTCATTTCATAAAAGCTACGGTCTCCATTGAATGGTATGGGCTGATTTTTCTCTTCGCTCCATGTTTCCAAGCATTCCACCAATGCAGGCGTCGGGCCTTGAAAATCTAGACGAGGTTGAGTATTCGGGACAGGAGCCACAGGGGGTAGGTTGTTGACTTCTGGCTCATAATCAGAACCATCAGAAAAACCTTCTGCATGGTGATCATCCAAAGGGATTGGATGATCATCTTCTGGCTCGTCGTCAAGCCATCCAGCATTGCCTTCGTTCGGGAAGTACGAGTTGCCGTGGAGATGGAATTCATCCATGATATCTACACGAGAAAAAGCATATAAGAATCTAATATAAATAGACGTACTACTTAAGATAATTATAAGATGATCCTTACCAGTTAATTCAATACTTACATAGTGCATACCGGTTATATGAAATCAAAACAGGATACAACTTCGAATAAGTAACCCTACCTCTAAATCGATAACCAAACAAGGAACAAGAAGTAAAGCAAAGATCACAAATTCTAATTCTATGACACCTTTATCTCATATACCCTTAGTGTATCCACTTAGCAACTATTGACCTACTAATAAAGACCTTTTAGTTATCAGATAAGTAATTATAGTAACACAAAATACCGCTACAGTATTTTATGTTTATGTTTTGTTCTAATGCTATCATTGTAGTAGTGTTGGTAAGTTTTTAGACTTGTTGCCATATTATAACCATTCCTGGCCATATGCTAATCACTTCTCGGACCAACATAGTTGATTAGGCTACGTCACTCCCAGAACTAACCATACATCCCCAAGCCTCCTTGTGACATTCAACAATCGTAATACTTTTGTTTTGTCCTAGTGACACTGATTTTAGTATGAATACAGGTATGTATACTTAGTTAAAAAATTTATTATTTAAAAGTATAAACTCTTGGTCACTATAAACAAAGTATTTTAATCCCGTTGTGTTTATAGTTTGTATATCTTTTATGGGTCGATATACTCAATTCACTATAAACAATGCTCTGATACCAATCTGTCACACACCAAAATCGGAAATGCGGAAACGTTCGGGGGTGGAGGATGTCATGTACAGCATCACAACACATAATAACATTAAACAAGCAAACAACATCATCCATTTCATTAATAATATAATTTAATACAAGTGTGTTCTGTATAGTTTATATGACACCAAAAATGTAAGTCAAAATATAAGATGACTCTGGAATGCACTCCATCTTCTCAAAAGCTGGCATCGGTACCTGTCTATTGATGACCTGAGAATACAAGTTATTTTGAAAGAGTTTATCATGATTAAAGCTGATGAGTTCATAAGTATTTTGGTGTCATTGTTTATATCAAAATGTTTGTAAGAGTGTTTGAAGTATGAGTTTGTAAATGTTTGTAACTCCTCGAAAATCCTATATTTTCTACTAAAAGTAGCCTTTTACCAAGGCGTGACTATTTTGTATGTTTGTTTCTTGTAAAAGTGATCACAAAATGAATGCAAAGGGGAAATTAATGTACTACTGTAGTGTTGTAGTATACTAACTATTGTTGTACTAACTACCTTAAACCCGATTTATATCAAGGTATTATGTGATTGATTGTACCATACTATCGACTATAAACACGATGATGAAAGACGTTAGAAGTAATGAGATTTGGCACTCGTAGACCTGCAGGTCCCACAATAGCTAGCAGCAGAGATGTAGGATAGTCAATCCAGTATAGATCTATATGCAAACTCACGCTCTCCCTCTAGGAGATTTAGGCTACAAATCGGGCCATGGCAGTGATGACATGCCCCGAAACAGTGGTTCACAGTTATGTTATAGTATACCTGTATATGTATAGTATGTACTTGTGTAGTGAATGTATTGTTTCTCGTTATAGTGTTCTCTATCTGTTTCTCATCATAGTATAGTTATATGGTTTCTCATAATAGTAAGGTCTCATAGTTTCTCATCATAGTATAGTTGTATATTTTCTGATAGTAGTAAGTTCTCTTAGTTTCTCATCATAGTATAGTTGTATAGTTTCTCATAATAGTAAGTATTGACTCATGAATGAACTGACACTTTTTGTGCTTCATTGAATTTAGAATAAATGAATAGTATATCCATAAACTATACCTCGTATAGTTTACTAGTAGAATTGTTTGTATGACCGAATGTATTGAACTAAGATAAAAGACTTTATATCTATACATATATACATAATGTATAACTAAGGATCCAATGAAACTCGAACAAACAACAGGGTACTCTGAGTCCACAACCAAACAAGGAATAGGAAATACAGTGAGTTGGCAGTTCTAAGTCCTTCAAACCTTACTTATATAATTATACATATAATAAACATGGTTTTAACAATATATAAGTTTGATAATTGTAAAAGGGAAGGTTTGATATATAACAGAGAGTTTGGTAAGGAGTTTACAATGTAGAAGAGTTTGATAAGCAGTTTGAAGTAGTTGCTTGATAAAACAGCTAAGAGTATAGTCAATCCATTTTTTGATAGTTATTAATCACATGTGATTTAAATAATAACTATGATATACAAATTGTATTCCCCCTCCCCCCCCCTATAAAAGAATTTAAAATCAATTAAAGGGTTTATTAAGGGGTATCAACTCACCTATAGTGAGTGGATTGGATGTATGTGTTCGATAAGGTGCTAGGTGTCAAGTGAAGACTTGAACACACATACTAATGCTATTTAACATATAAAGACACATATATGTATCTAATTAGTGATTATAACACTAATTAATCAAGTAAAGACACCCTAGAACATGGAAAAAGCTTTAATTCAGGTGTTATAAGATCATACGGTTGCTTCTAAGGGTTATATGGCTTTGCTATTAAGTTTACGGTGCAAGGACCAACTCTCCATGAGTTTACAGCTTAGGTTTGCATCCCTCATGGGTTTACGGCCGTAAACCCATGGTGACTTGCATAAATTTGATGTTTAAGGTCCTTAGCTCAAAGGGAAGGTGTTCTAGGCCAAGTTCCAAGCCTTAGGAAGGAATTTAGAGCAACAATGCACCCTTTGTTAGAGTTTACGGCGAAGGGAGATTGCCTTGGCCGTAAACTCCCTTGGTTGTTTGATTATTGATGTTTTCAATCTCCTAACTGATTATACTAACTTATAAACATGTAAAGAAGGTAAGGACTTACAGTTTGAAGGTGAAAAAAGGGAGTTTTTGGCACAAAACACACAAGTGTTCTTGGTGTTCTTGAGGATCTAGAAGATCTAGAAAAAAAGATGGGATTTATGGGTGGATTCAAAGATGAATCAAGTAGAAGTGATGTAATCAACACAAAGATAGAAGAGTTTGCTTACATTAGTGAAGATTGGAAGAAAACTTGAAGATCGTTGGGAGAGAATATCGAATTCTCTAGCTTAGAATGTGAAGAATGAGGGGAAAATGACTAAGTGTCATATTTATACAAGGGGTTCACGGTCACTTGGAGTTTACAACCGTAAACCCAAACGTCTTGGTCGTGAACTCCTCTTGTAAGGGTTTAATGTTTGTTTGACAAGTTACAAGTTCAACTGAAACTCTCATTCACTAAATCCTATGATGTATTAAAGCTCCGAATGCTTAAACGGACACCAAAAGTGCTAAAAGTTAGCAGAGATAAGTTTGACTAGATTGAAATGTAGGGTTTGTATAAGATAGAAATTTCGAGTTGTCACATCTAGGCCCCTCGATGATTTTGTTTTGACCTTTGTATTGGGCCTGGTCAGAACTAAATTGATGTGTTCGATTAAGTTCTATGTCAAACAAATTGGAAATCGGGAAACAAATTGTTGGACAATAAGTACGACATTGTTTAATGTATTTGTCCGGATGATATCTTGAGAGCAGAGGATTTTATGATCACTTATCTTAAGTGGCGTGACATCATCATCTCAGTTCCGAGAGACCTTGAAAGAGCTACGGTTGCTAATCGATTCCTAAAGTTATAGTTGCAGTAATAGTTATTAGATTCTTTAAGTGGGAGACTATTGGATAAGGTGTCTAAGTCCATAACTATTTATGGTATGTACTTGTCCCGGTTTGGCATGGTCCATTTGGGTTGCATGACATCATGCACTTGGGTAGAGTAAAATGAGAAAAAGGACACTTATGGTTTATTAATATATTATAAGTTCTAATATATTAATAATATGATTTAATTTGTGTTGATCAAGAATTAATTTAGAATTAGTTTTGTGATCAAAAGGAGACTAATTAAATATATGGATTGATTGTGTAAATCATCTATTCTTGTATAGTGGGTTAATGTTGCATGGTTTATCAAGTTGGGCTAAAACCCATAAGATGCTCCATGGTGTTTTTGAACCCATGGATCCAAGAAATGAAATCCATGTCAATTAGGGTTTACATGGTGTAACCCTAATTGTGAAACACTATATAAGCATCATATTGTAGACCAAAAATCGGCCACTAAGTGAGACAAGTGAGGGCTAGATGATTTTCTAAGTGTGTGCATTTCTCTCTAAGTTATTCCAAGTGTATTTAGTGTTTTTTGAAGTATTTGAGGCATCACATTTGGGGTGCTAGGCTGACAAGGTTCTCAAAGAAATTCAAGCAACAAAAGGTATGTTTACTTACTAGCTTTTATGGTTAAAAGTTCCACATGCATGCTAGATAGGTTAGGAACCTTGGAAATCAAATTTGCATGTATCATAGTAAAACGTAGGCCCAAGGTTTCTAGGGTTGCATATAAACCATAGGAGTGTTAGAATGCTCAAAACCCATCACTTCAAACAGACAAATACCAGCGAATCATACCAGAAAGGCATTTGGTGTTGGCAATAGAGTTTGCTTTGCTGGCTTCGGCCGAAGATATGATTGTTTTTAGAGCATTCATGGAATACAAGTTTTTATCCCTTAAGAATAAAATGTAGTCATAGATGTCTTCACCTTCCTTCCTTTTGTAAATAACACTCTAATGCTTCTTCTGAATGATCCTTGCCTTCAAATGTTGGATGTTTTCCAATTGTTCGTCTGGCTTCAGAATAGGCCTCTTCTTCAGAATAGAGGCAATCTCAACATCCATTTTTGCAATTTCTAGGATGTAACACATGATCATTGACTTCAAGTGTTCAAAAATTGGCTCATACTTCTTGAAATCTTTTGTTACACTGTAAAACAGAGATAAATAATCATCAGAGTTCATGAATGGCAGATCAGCCAAAGTGAACTCATGAAGAATGTGATTGGCATCTCGGAATCCTTTGAACTGAATATTCAAACAGTCTTCAGTATAAATCGACAATCCAACCTTTCATGCCATAATTCTTTTTAAGCTCCATGTCCCATATTGTAATTTTGCATATTTCAGGTAAAATGAAAAAAGCTTTCGGTTTACTACATTGTCAAAGATCACGGATTTCCCAATCTTCTCAAAGCACCTGAAGAGAAATATCCTTGGAGTGATGGGAAAATCAAACTGACATTCCACATTATTATCTAAGTTGAAAGTTGTTGTTGGCTCTAGGCACTAGAGATTCAGATCATCAATAATGTCTTTATGTATACACTCATGAGACCAGGAAGGAAATAAAGACTTCTAAGTTTCAAGAATCAGTTGCAAATTCTTGGCTTTAGCTTCTTTTGCCTCGAATTTCTTCCAAAGAGCATTGAGTTCATCAAGCTCTTTATCTATTTTCTCTCTTTCTACTCTTTCCGACTTACTAATGTTTGCATCTTCATCATTTCCTTCTCCAAAAACACTTTTGGAGTCCGTTTGAGCATTCTGAGCTTAAACACATCAAAGGAATAAGTGAAAGGAAGTGTCGATTGAATTTGTAAATAGCCAAGCAAGCCTTAAGCCCTCAAAAGAGGAGTTTCCGGCCAAGACCATTGAGTTTACAGCCGTAAACTGAAGGTGGCCGTAAACTCCATGGTATATATATATATATATATATATATATATATATATATATATATATATATGTATATATATATATATATATATATATATATATATGATCCTTAGTGATTTTGAATCACTTTTCACCTTTCAAGCCCAAGAAATCGGATTTCTCTCCTAAGGATCATAGGTTTTGCTTCCAATCTTCAAATAATGTAAGTAAATCCTTCCATCTATGGGCTATACATCACTTATTCTTGATTCATACTTGAATCCATCCATCTTTCATCTTTTGAAACTAGATCTTCAAGATCATCAAGAACACCAAGAACACTTAAGTGTTTTGGGGCCGAAAACACCCACCATTAGCCATCAAATTGTAAGTCCCTACCTCCTATACATATTTGATAGTTATGTTGCTGAATTAGTGACTTGAAAACTCAAGAAATCAAGAACAAAAGGTTGTTTACGACCAAGGCAATCTCCCTTGGTCGTATACCCTAATGATGGGTGCAAATGAGCCCTAATTTCTTCCAAATTGAGTGAAGGACCTTAAACATCAAAAATGCTACAAGATACCATGAGTTTACGGCCGTAAACTCATTGGGCCGTAAACTCATGGGGGTTTACACTAGGGCCGTAAACTCCAATGTGAGGCCCTACAACCCTTAGATGCAACCCGTTGTACTTCTAGCACTTGAATTAAAGTGTTTTCCATGTCATAGGGTGTATTTAGTTGCTTAATTAGTTGTTCAATCACTAATTAGATACATATATGTGTCATTATGTGCTACTGAGGATCCGTGTGCGTTCTCAAGTCTTCACTTGACACTTAGCATCCAATACAACACTTTCATCCAAACCAGTCACTAACAGGTGAGTTCATACCCCTTAATCAACGTTTTAAATGTTTTTAAATGCTTTTATGGGGGGAGGGATACAAGTTGAATGATTATAGTTATTATATCAATCACATGTGATTTATACTATCAAACAAATGGAGTTACTATACTTTCAGTGGTTTTATCAAACAAACTACTTCAAAAGGTTTATCAAACTCTTTCACATGATACACTCTTTATCAAACTTGTTCTTATCTGCCAAACTGCTTTTAAATCATTTAATAAAGTGGCATCAAGTCATCAATATTTGTTATTAAACTCTTCAAACGGTTTTACAAAACTTCTTTTTAAACATAAAAATACTATCAAAACCATGTCTAATGCATATATAGTTATATAAGTAAGGTTTGAAGGAATTAGGACTGATAACTCACTTTATTTTCCTGTTCCTTGTTTGGTTGTGGACTTAGAGTACCCTGGTTGTTTGTACGAGTGTCGTTTGATCCTTAGTTATATATTATTTATATATGTATAAGACACAATAGCTTTTATCTCAGTTCAATACATTCAGTTATACAAACAATTCTACTAGTAAACTATAATAGGTATAGTTTAGGAAGATACTACTCATTACATCTAGTACAAGGAGAAATACAAAGAGTCAGTTCATACATCATTCAATACTTACTTTAATGAGAAACAAACATAACTTATTATTATGAGGAACAAAAAAGAACATATACATATACAAGTACAGAGAAGAGAACATATACATATACATTTACAAGTAAACAGAAGGAACATACACCAACACAACAATTAGAATATGAAATTTACTTCTACATTATGCGGATTCCACCGTTGTTATGTTGGTAACCAGAGTCTCCTGGAGGGAAAGCAGGCATTGTGTGTATAGATCTATACGGGACAGGCTATACCGCACCCCAACTGTTAGCTACAGTCCCCAGCCGACCAAGCCAAGGGTGACAAATGTCACATTCATCGTCGCGTTCTATAGCCGTCAATCAGTATGGTTACAAATCTCACCTTACCTTATAATTCATTGGCTTTCAGGTAAGTAGTACTACGGTAGTTTCCACATACAAAACTACAGTTCTATAATATTTTCCATAATACATTTACCTTGAAACATTTTCTCATTAAACGATAATGTACAAACTATGTTTTGATAACGATGGTTAGACTTGGGAAAATACATACTCTTACAAACAAACAAACCGAACATTGGGTCTTGGTAGAAGATTACAGTTAGTAGAAAATATGGCATTTTCTAGGAAGATACGAACATTGTACGAACATTTTACGAACATTTACAACGAACATTTTAATATAAGTAAACACTTACAACTTTACTACAAACATTTACAAACTTATACATTCAAGCACTTGCAAACATTTTTCATACAAACAATGACACTAAAATGCTTATGAAGTCACTAGCTTTAATGCTAATAAATTCTTTCAAAGTGACTTGAATATAGGTCATCAGTAGACAGGTACCAATATCGGCTATTGAGAAGATGGAGCACATTCAAGACTCATCTTTTATTTTGATTCATATTTTGGTGTCTTATAAACTATACAGAACACTTGTATTAAAGTACATTATTAATGCAATGGATGATTTTGTTTGCTTGTTTACTATAATTTTGTGTTGTGATACTGTACATGACGTCCTCCACCCTCGAAGGCATGGTTGGATGGATTAAAGATGAGCCAAAAGATGATTATCCAATCCCTTTGGATGATCATCATGCTAAAGGCTTTTTGGATGGTTCTGACTCCGAGCCTGAAGTTAAGAACCTACCCCCGGTGGCTCCTGTCCCAAATCCTAACCCTCGTCCGACTTTTCAAGGCCCGACACCCCCATGGGTGGAAAGCTTGGAAACATGGAGCCAAGAACAGGATCAACCTATGCCATTTAATGGAGACCAGAGCTTTTACAACCTGAGCGAAGGAAGCTTAGCAGACAGAGTCTTGCCAATCTTACACTCGTGTTAAGTATAATTCATACTCCTTCTGATAATTACACTTCATTCTACTGAAATCATTGATTGCTTACACAAACTCCATCATTATTGTGTTAGATTCTTGAATCTTCAAAGTAATTGTTCAAGTGTTCTTGAGTTGAACACTTCTCTTCTTCAACATACACCCTTTGAAATCACTCAAGGTGAGTTCATACCCCTACATTTTCATATTTTCTTAAGTTTTAAAGGGGGGGGGGGAATCCAAGTTAAATCACCAAGAACACAACTAAATGCTTCTAACAGCTTTCATCAGAAAAGTTGGACTCCATTCACGGACTGTTTTGGTCAACTAAAACATTTTAGTTTTTAAAAATGTAAAAGGTGGAAGTAGTTCAAGTTCTTAGCTTTAAAATGGCTACTTGAAAATTTCCATACGATTTTTCTACAATTTATGGTAATTTTTACAAAACTGCCTATCATTTCAAGAACCAATCTGGACCAGTCTGTGTTTATGGACGTTTTCACCTAAGTTGCAGGTCACTAAAAATCATGGGAAAATTGATGAATAAATTAGATTCATTTTCCAAAGTCCCAGAATTTACGGATTCGGATTTGGATCTGTTATAAATTTTCTATAAATTTTCTAAGAACAGTAATAAAAACTGTTAATAACAGAAAAATGCTAACAATTTCATTTCACCTTGTAACATGTCGAGCAAGGTGTACATCTTTATGTGAATATATGTTATTGAAAATAAATGGCATTTTGCCTTGGTATATAGACATGCATCAGTTAATAAATGGATTTTGATACATATATATGGAATATAAAAGCTAACAAATTGTTATAATCAAAGTACATCCATTTCATACAAACACTTGAATAAACTATGTTAAATATAGTTTACGTACATTACCATTACTACCCTTGTTTTGGATAAACTATAATAGGTATATTTATGATACATTACACAACACACTCATACAAAAAGGGTACATTTATCGAAAAAGGAATTTTCATCATATTACACGTAAATTTGTTAATGACTTTGTGAGACATTCACTGCACATTTACCAATAAGTCATGTATTGTAGCCAGAGTCTCCTGGAGGGAGAGCGTGATAGTTGTATATAGATCTATATTGGGTTTGACAAACCCACACCTTAACTGCATGCAACAGTTAGACCGGCAGGTCTGGGGTGACAAATGTCATAACATTTCTGATGCCTGAAGAACGTCGTTTCAGACCAACAAGGTAATAGCATGGTTATAATAACTCACATTAAGTATTAACAAACATAAGAATTTACGGGAATTTCATTGAATTCAAACGTGTTTATGTCGATTTAAACTTGCATTATTTTCTATAAGTAAGAAAGGTTACTTATACATTTCGGTCTTTGGATATAAGACTACAATGCACATTTTAAGGAAAATATCGGATTTTCTGGAACAAACATGACATTTACCAGACACAGGCTTTTATCAAGTTTAAAAGAAAAGCTTGTGAACTCACCAACCTTTGTGTTGACACTTTTTCAAATGACTTGTATTCTCAGGAAATCACTAAACAAGTAACCAAGTGCATTTTGAGGATGGGACGTTAAGGCGTCAACATTTCATATTTTTGTCAACATATTGTAATTGATTTGGAAACATGTAATTCATACAATGATGTAACTCTTTCAGTTATATATATGTTGGTTTTGTTTGCTATAATTATTATTGTCATTGTGGTTATGATACTATACATGAAGTCCTCCACCCCCGGATGTTTCCGTCATCCTTGGTTTGGGGGTTTGACAGAGAGTCTAATCTACGGAATCGCCATCAGTTTCTGGAGTCAGAAGTGGTCGTTCAGCCATTGGCATTGATGCAGATTTAGTGTCGTGAAACCCGAACTTCTCAAGAATATCTTCCACATACTTGGCTTGATGTAGCAGGATTCCGGTTGAACTTTGTTTGACCTGAAGCCCCAGAAACATGGTCATTTCCACCAAGGAACTCAT